AAATCTTAAGAAAAATACAAATAAAAATATTTCCCCATTTACTAAATTTTACTTGCTCAGATAGTACATATCAGTGCTAAGCACTTAAGAAGAAGCACATTCTAGTTTTATTTCTTAAATGTTTAATTCCACATTAATTCAAAAGTCTCTGAGCTTTGATCCTTCAGCTCATTTGTGCAGGATATTAAAAAATCCATGGAACCAAGATTATGTAAAAAGCATAATGGATCTTCTGGAAATTCTAAGTGAACTCTTTCCATGGTAGACAAGAATATAACTGTGCACCATGTCAATGTAGAGACCTAGGGGGAAGATGTTTAAAATTGAAGTAATTAAAGAGAACAAGCAAGCAAAAGTCATGCTTTCTAGGCCACTGCTTTTTATTTCCAGTACTGCTCCAAAATGTAAGAGACAGAATCTTTCTACATTTTTGTGGTTCATTGAATGTCTATTCTTATCCAATGGTAGAGGCCAATGCCCTAATTTTATGGGCAAAGTGGCAGAGAGAGCAATAAAGTACACCAAACTAAATGTTTGGCAGAGGCAGGAGAGACTTAGCTTCTTACTGAGATTTTCCCAGAAACATTTTTAAATGAGGTCTGGTCTTGGAAGTGAATTAAAAGGGAATGGATAAGGTAATATTAGCTCCCCTTTGCGAACGTCTGTAAAGCACTTAGCATAGTTCCTAGTGCAGGCAGGCACCATTCTTTCATTTTTGAAGTTTGGTGCATGCTGAGCCCCTTTTCTTATTTATGATAAAAGAATTACTAGTGTCCTGGAAGGTAAGTTGATAGGATTGTCAATGATAAATACTACCTTAAGGGAGACTAAGTGCATTTCTTAGAGGAAAGACTAAAAGCTAGTTATACTGAACATACTTAGATCTAAATAAGAGAAGAATGAGACAATATCAGCTGCCAAGATTCTTATTGATGCCCAAATAGGCATTGCAGGCATATGCCCTGAGTGGTTGTGGCTCAGCAGTCTGAATGCAGGCTCAGTTCGAGCAGTGCGATAGCACTGGATTCCAGGTTTTCTGTGTAACCACATAATGAACTTGAGCAGATAGATGCCTCCCATGTGCCTCACCTGCATTCAGCTGCAGAAGGTTGAAGGGTCTCCAAAACAGATGCTATGTATTTGACTTTGTCACAGTTACTTCCAAACAATGAATAAAATGAGTGAAACAGAAATTACTTCTGGGAGGCATTCACAGAGGAATAACCTAAAAATCCCTCAACTGTCATAAGCACAGGAGGAAGGTTTTCTGATGGCATTGTGTGTGTGGACTGTGGAACAAATTGGTGATGTGGCTGTGGAATCTTCTCCCTCACCAGGGCAGGAAGGGGGAGGCAAAAAAGTGAGGGTGACAAACTGGGTGAATTATAGTGCTTGCTTTCTGCAATGCACATAATCACCTCAATTCCCTCCCTCCCTTTGAAGCTAATGAAGAGTTGGCTAGGGTCTGCTTACCTCAGGAAAGAACTTGGCATGAGTCTGCATATGCGCTCCACCGGAGAAAGTAACTGGAATTTCACAGAACACACTGGCATTCTGTGTTTCCAGTTTCTGAAGAAGAGACAGTTTCTTCTGTTAAAGACAATATCTAGATAAGGAAAAGGAAGGTGCCTTTTATGGCCAAACTTTCGAGTTGCCATGAAAGAAGCATTTTAGAAAATATCTTCATATGCTATGAAAAGCTGTTTAAACAAAGTGATTAGAAAAGTGTGAAAATTGAAGAGGCTACCATTAATTCCAAGGTTAATAGAGTATTTTTGATCCTCAAATGCAAGTAAACTACCTTTTTTAACATTTCACATGAAAGATCAAATAAATATAAGATTTTTTTTTTCGGTACCGGGAATTGAACTTAGGACCCTGCACTTTCCAGGCAAGTGTTTATTCTACTGAGCTATCTCCTTGGGCTCTGTAAGAATCTTTTTAAATTCTCATGTTAAAAAAAAGGAAAGTTTGTTCTCTCACTGTTATTGTCCCTAATGCAAAGAACTCATAGAAGTTCTTTGGTCTAATCATGCTCTATGATGTCCAGGGAGTGTTCCTAAATGATTATCCCTAAAACCATCTAATTTTGCTTGGTTCATTCATACATCCATGAGTCTACATTTTTAACCATAAATACTCAAAGTTCACTAGATTTTCATTTAGCACAATGATATATATGCATTTGGCCATAAGAAGGCAGGTTGAACTTACAGGTAGAAATTCTTCTACACAGGTAGGCTGGTAGGGACTTGAACCACTAAGATGAAGATTTACACATCAAAACCTTCTACGACAAATGCTGTACAGGGTACTTGTTTCAGTCAAGCAGAAGGGATGTGTTGCAGAATTTCTTTCTACTTAGTTTTGGATTGAAGTCAGTCACAAGAGATTTTGCACTAGATTTGGTAGGCAATATGAATAAGCAGATATTAATGTCACATGCATAAGGTCAGTGTCATAGTCTGAGGTTTTGCAAGGACAACAATACAACACACAACACATATTTTATAACATTATTTTATAATGAATCTCCCAAAGAATCACATACAAAGAGTGCAAGGAATCTGTCCACACACTAAAGGCCAAAGAATCCAGCAGATGGCCTGGTTCCCACAGCAATGTCCCGCCTGAGTCTCGCTAAAATCCTCAAGCCCATAATAATGCCTCTTATGAGTCCAAATAGAAGTCCAGAACCCATGACAATATTTCATGCAGATCTGTTTCATGGATTCGCACAAAGGTCAGTGGTGAAAGTTAGAAAGTCTGTGCCAACCTGATGAAGGATCTGTGCTAGCAGGCTGAGGAATCTGAACTGGAGCTAGGAAGCAACACTCAAGGTAAGAGCCAGAGCTCCCCTGAAAAGTACCACAGCCATCCTCTGCAATAGTGAGGTCCTCAACTACTCCATTGATGAGGAAAGCTGGGCTCCCATCAGGAAAGCCAACATGACAAGCTTCCCCAGAGTCTGAGCCGTGCACCGTCTTCCACTCCAGAGCCAGGAAGCAATGCTCAAAGTGAGGACCAGAGCTCCCCCAAACTGAACCATAGCCATCCTCAGTGCTCCCCCAAACTGAACCATAGCCATCCTCAGTGACAACAAGGTCCAAGCTCCTTCAGTGATGAGAATAGCTGAGTTCATCAGGAAAGCCTGCATGACAAGGTCCTCCAGGAGAAACAACAGCTCCCACTAGTTCCCTACAGCCTCAAACAGCTTCTATACTTCTTTCTCTCCAATATTCCTTTTCATTTTGTTAGTGACAATCCTCAGGCACACCTCTCACACCCAGCACCACTCCAGTTCAGTTCAGCCTGGTGTTACAAGTTGACCATCAATTGTTAATCCACCACAGTCAGTAAATGGCCTCAAACACTGTGATAGCTCAAGAATATTTTATCAGCTCAAAAATAGTGAGATAACAGAGATGAAAAACAGCTCTGTGAAAAGCCAGAGCCCTGGACTCATAGCTCTTCTGTCATCTGTAGTTTGAAGAGTGCTGGCCAGGTGTGTGTGCAATTCCAAGGCAGCAGGATCTCCTGCAAGGCAGCCATTATCACATGGAAGTGGTGGTGACAGAAACAAGTTCCAGCTTGTCCTATTGGACTCGCTTTCTCCCTCAGTCTCTTCACTGTAGATCAGCTCTTCTTGCTGACACTGGTGCAGCTGGCCTATGGCTACATCAGGCCTGGAACCCACAACTGTGCTGAAGCTGTATAGTAAATCCTATTCCCTGTCATTCTTAGTGGTCCTGCTTCTATGATCAAACCTGACTCATAAAGGCAGCTCTAAGATTAATTAAGGAAACCAGAAGTCTGACAGACCCCAAGTTCTTCCTTGTCTACAATCCTCCACATGTTGGCTTCAGTCCTTCACCCTCATTGTGTAAGAGGACAACAGTGGTTCAGAGCTTTCTCTCCTCACACGGTACCCCGTGTCACTTCTGAAAATGCAGAAACAGCCTTTCAGAAGCCCTCAGGAAAACCTTTCCTCTTGTCCTACTGAACACATGCATGTGCTAAACCCAGCCTCATAGCAAGAGGACAGAAATGATCAGGGTGTTCTCAGCCAGAGCTGGCCTCAGCCTCCTGAATATCAGAGCCATTGAAGCACAGGGAGCCAAACAATGGTTTTGAGAGTGGGCCTGGAAGGGGTGGGATAACTCCCTAGTCAACGATGCATGTACAACCAAGTTCTCCCTACCAGTAATCTCAACACAGTGAGAAAGCACTCAACAGTTAACATGTAACTTTATTTTTTACTAATATTTGTGCAATGTTTATTTTTGCTAATTACATCACAGTTTACATGTGCTTCATTTGTAGTGGACATGTAGAATGCAGTCAACTCATCCTCTGTTTCTTCCTCTGAGATACATTGGTTCTTTCACACACGGACATTGATGGGGATGTCTCTAAGATTTTTTCTGCAATAATAGAAGCTTCCCTCAAACTAAATTTAAAATCATCTTTTAGTAACCCAACATTTACAGCCAGGAAACATCCATATCTTGAGTGTTGCTTAGAAAATTTCTATTATTACATTGCCACATCTGAAATCAGAATGCTATTACTTCTTCACTCACCATGTACTTAATAAGAATATCCCAAACTTTAGCTTGGAAACACAAATATTATTTTTATGTATTATTGAATATTAATTTAATTTCCTAGTAAAATTATTTTTATTGGGCACCATTTAAACAAAATGAATCAAAATAGCTAGAGGCAAAGATGTCAGGCACTTGATCATTACCTTAATGTGGATGGCCTTTAGGTCAGAGGCTTTAATACTTTACCATTTATGAACACCTGTCATAACATTTTAGCAAACACTTCAGTTAACAAAATTATGCAGAAATTATGAGGCTATAAAACAGAGGGGAGCTGATAGAGAAAATTGGACCAGGTGGCAGTCATACCTCACTTCAGGATTTTTTTTTAAATTAATTTTATTGAAAAACAAATAGCAACGAGATAGTTTCAAAAACCAATTTGTAGGAGAGTTTCAATAATTAAAACATTGCATATTGTTGTCTTTGTAGTGGTTAGTCATAGTACAAGATGTAGACATGATAAAATAAACTATAGGGCCAATGCTTTGATTGGTTAAGTCACAAAATATCTGGTTATGCTGATATAAACATTTACATTAGAATTTTTGCTATAAATTTATGACTAAGGGTGAGGGAAAGAGACCATGAAGTCAGCTGGATACTGCATCTCTCCCTGTATTAAATTTATATGGAAAGCTACATCTATTAGAAAGCTGATTAACTGTATTCCAACTGATATGAGTTCATTAAATTAACTTCATGGTCAGGGTCACTTGATCATAGCAACCTGACTTCAGATACATCAATTCTTGAGAGGCCTTTTCCCCTTAAACATTCTTGGACATACCAAGACTTTTACTCCGCAGCAACCCTGAGTCTTACCATACTAAATTTTGTGGGTTATGCTCATACAGCCATTAAATAAACCTAAGGTATACTACCTCAAATCAATGGTCATGTTTTCAGGCCCTGGCATTTCATACCATCACTAAGCTCTAACCTGTTCCTACTGCTTTTAGCCCTCAATGATTAGTCAAATTATAGGTCAGCTCCTGATAGTACATCCCTGCTGAGTTCTAGGTGGAAACTCACTGTGTTCACCTGAGCATACGGCAGCAGAAGTAAATAATTAAGATGATTACTTTCTAAGTTAAGTTGAGTTGCTTTTATGTACTTACAATCTAATGCAGGTGGGAGGGTCAGAAATGGTTGTATATATCATAATGCATGAACATAATACTGGATGCCTTGTATACCTGACAATAACAAATTTATGAAAAACAAAAATTTATTTTTTATACTACTGGAGGTTGCACAATCCAAAATCAAGGTGCTGGCCTCAATCAAGAATCTTTTCACTGTATCCCATAGCAGAAGGCAGAAGGCCAGAAGAAGGCAAGGATAAGAGCAGACCAAACTCATTCTTTCAATAACTACCCCACTCCCACAGCCATGGTAGGACCCTCATGACCTAATTACCTCTTATTAGGCCCAGCTTCCAACACTGTCACATTGGCAATTGAGTTTATATTACACAAGTTATTGAAGACAAAAGGAAAGCTGAATAAAAGAGAACAGTTCAATCTTCCCAGTGGTAAAACTTCCAGGGCTGACAAGCCATTGCCTGGGACGGCAGTGAGGACGAGATGACGTCACTGTATATTCTGAATGCTCATCATGGTCTGTCTTCATTTCCTGTACTGGCTGGCTATTTGAAGAGGCTAGAACCAAGAAAAGACCTATAAATATCTGTCATTCAAGTCAGAATAACTTTTTCTTAAGTGTTTAAGGATGATTCTTTTTGGGGTAGGGAGTCTTAAGCTATTACTTGCATATATAATCAAACATCCATGAAACCCTTATTTTATAAGTAGCTACAAAATCTGAATCATATCTATTTCAATCTCCTCGTCTGAGGTTCTTGAGCCTTTCACAGTGGAGATCGAGTTCACTCCATTTTGGGCCCTTACTTGTAGTCTAATTATTGGAACGTATAAATGAGAAAAGATACGCTGAGAAAAGGAAATATGTAACCAGACTCTAATTTGTAGGTGAATTATCAGTTGCCAAGGAAGCTAGAAGTGGCTGAAAAAGCACAAGGGGTCAGCAGTCCGTCTTACAAGAAAATATGGTTCTATTTTCCCCATTTGACATATCTGCGCTTCTGTGTAGCTCAATAGAGTCCCATGTTTCATGTTTTTATCACAAAAATAAGTCCACAGAAGCACAGGGCCATTGAATAGCTTCTAGGTAAAGCCTTTCTGCAACAGGGAACTGTAAGAGCAACCATTTATTTAAGCAGAAACAACTTGTTTAATTACAGGCCTGGAGAGAAGCCCAGCTGTATTTTTCTGCTGGATTATTTTATAATCCCTCTTGCTTTTTTTCAAAGTCTTATGTGATGACATAAATTAGTTGAAACTTCAAACTCCTTTTATGATTGAAGTTTTGCATCAGTAAATGGTTTGATAAAGGAAATGATTCCTTACCATGTTGACTTCTAAATTACCATCATTGCTAGTCTCTTCATCAGTAGACATTTTCTACCCAAAAAATAATAAACAAATAAACAAACAAATACTTCTCTTTGCAAACATTCAAATTCTCGTTTATTCCAATCTCAGTATAATTATGTTATGGGAAATACCTTCATTACTTCCCCTTTTGTCCCTTCATTCCAACAAATAGCATTAAAAATGCATTCAGTGTAAAAACATGGCATCAGACAGCAGTAAATTCTTATGATTGATTGAGGTGCTCCAATGAAGAAAATAAATACAGTTCAACCAGACCAGAAATTCTTGGCATTTTAGAGTTGCTGGTTTTATATTCACCAATAACTAACAATGCAAAAGTCACAGTCAAGGAGAGGCCCGGAGCAGCGGTTAGGAATTTGAGGCAAAAGATCTCAAAGAAGGCTTTCCTTCTAGGCCTTGATAAATCTGTTGCCTCCTTTAGTTTTGTTCTGTTTTATTGGTTATACAGGTTAATGTGTTTAATTTTAGAAGACTTAGGTGTAGACATAACAGTTTTCCTCATTTTCACCCTCCTTGCTGTCCTGCCCTCCACTAGCTTTTAGAGGATTTCAATGGAAATGAGCAAAATATAATATATACATTAAAATTATGGTCTTTTTAGACATATCCTAGACTAAGAACATTTTAAAATAAGATAATACAAAAGAGAATTCTAAAAAAACTCACATAAATTGTATCATATGAATCTACAACCAGGAACCTAGAGGTAGGTCAGGTTTTGTGACAGTGCAACAATTCTGTATTTTTAAACAATGTTTTATTAACTAGCCAGTATCTAACAAGACTTGCCTATGCCTTCTGACTGCTCTTTCAGAACCATAATTTATTTGCTTTCTGCCAAACAGATTACTAGAGAGAAAAGTATTAATTCCCCAGCTCCTGCCCTGTAAGGTAGTCTTGGCCTGGCTATACCCTTTGACAGAAGTCATTCTCCTACACATCAGTGATTTTATGTGACTTTCTCCTTTCAGGTTTTTGAAAGTATTGTCCTGACCCCATCCTTCCGTCCTCCCTTCTGTGCTCATTTTGTAGTTTTAACTATGCCATATGTGTCCTGTTGGGACTTAACTATGGAGCTTTCCAACATAGAAACTGTTGTTGAGCAGTGTGTTGTAGCTCCTCTCCCATAATTTTAATCTACTGCAATCATTACATCAGGATTATCATTATAATAGGTTAGGGGTCCTTGGGGGGAGACAAGTGAAACTACCTAAGATCTACCTCCTATGACCACTTCTGGTAAGCCAAGGAACTGGGATAGCAAGTAGAAAGGCAGGTCTGTCTATTGGTAGAGAACTGGTGAGACTCACACACTGTCACTATTGCAACCTGGTTCTCTAATGATTTTGTCACTGGCTAGTGTTCTGAACTACAGGAAAGACAAAATCTAAAAGAGCTGGTTCTTGAGCCTGCTAAGGCCTATAACCATTGTCTGTCCTTTTTTTCAGGGCCCTCTAAAGGAAAGTGTCCCCCTGGTTTCCAGGATATTACTGATCAGCTAAGTGTTCTTGCTCAATTCATAGAAAAGTGGCAGCAGCTGTTCAGATCTTTTAGTCTTCATATCTCTCCTTGCCACTCAGACCCAGCAGCTAACAGTACGTGTCTGGAACTTTTCCAGTTACCAGAGATGGTGATCATCAGCTATTCTTTGTTGCCTCCATCACTCTCTGTTGCCAGGGGTGTTACCAGCCCTGGCTGCTGTTTTCTTTCAGCACCAGCTGATGTTACCAGCTCCTGGTGTACCAGATCAGCATGCTCTACTCCAGATAAATGTATGAATACATCAGCATATGCTGTCTAGAAGAGGCTTTACCAGAATTTATCCTGCAGCCTATGGGAGAACAACACATAAGCCAAGCCCACTAAAAGGCCTGGGAAGATTGCTTATAAAGCAAAAATGATGGGCTCTCACAAGCAGTGTTAGACTTTCTACTCCATCATGGGTAAGGGAGAGAACCCTCATAGATCTTTCGGAGGACAGAATCATTCAGAGAGGCTTCAGGGTGGAGGTACCTGGGAAAAGTCCATGACTGCAGCCTGTTCCAGCCAGAACAAGTATCTCCCAGAACAGCCAGGAGACACCTGCAAGGCATTTGGGGAAGCATCAAATACTACTGGGAAGCATCAGGCCCTTTGGAACTTAGCTCAGTCTCTCTATTACCAAAATCTTCTGACTTTAGTGCCGGTAGTAGGGAAATATCAACCCCAGGAACTGACAGCAGAGACACGGGATCTGTCTCAACCTCCCAGGACACCCAAGCACTTCTCAGGAGGGTGTTAGAGTGAGGGAAGGTTTCTGGGGGCTCAGCCCAATGAGTTAGTGGGAGGCCTCAGGTAGTACATGTAAATCTGCTTCACAAGTACACTTAGTAATTGAGTGAACTTCCTGGTTTCCCATTTTCTGGGGTGTGGAAATAAAATATGGAGATAAACTAGATCTGAATTTCATCTGGATCCTTCAAATGCTCAAATACTGCTCATTAATGTAAAGTATTATAAGGAGAATTGCGGCCATCGTATCAGAAGTTATAATTTTGAATTACTCTCAGTAATATAAGTTAGTTACATAACATTTAAGAAAAAATTAATTTAAGAAGGATTAAAATAAAATGGACCACAGAGATGCTCCATTTGTGGAAAGCACCAACCATTTGAATAAGCTCAAAGCAGGAGAAAAGAAGGCCCATAGTGGAAGGAGCTCACTGGGTGAGGTACAAAGATCCAGGCAACTCATGGTCAGATCATCAGAAACAACTTCTTAAAGGTTTCTTCTTATTTCTTCCCAGCTATTCCTCAGTGCAAGATGATCATCTTATTTATTAATTTAATGCAAAAATAGTTTTTTTAATTTCCCTATCATTTTCAATTAAATATTTAATTCTCTTACGATAAAAGTAAAAAATAGGAAATGATAATGTGTTGCATGAACATGCTTGTTGATACTTGGTGAGCCTCTTGATTGCTTCCTCAGGATACATTTTTGAGAGTAGGATATTAAAGAGAAAATGTAAAGCCATTTTAAAGGATAAGTTTTCAAATGACTCTAGAGGGCTGGCCAGATAGTTCCGTGGACTAATGCACCTACTGAGACAGGCTCAGCAATGGGGGTTCGACCCCTGGCATGCCGTGCTGTCCCCAACCCCGGAGAGTGCTGAGATAGCCACTGAGACTGGGTGTGGCGGCATGTGCCTGTAATCCCAGAGCTTGGGAGGCTGAAAACAGGAGGATCACTACATGTACAATCTGTGTAGTGAGACCCTGTAGAACCTGTACTAAATACATAAAAAATAAATAAAAATAAAATAAAATGACTCCAGAAAAGTAAGATGCATTTACATGCACAATCAGCAATGTATGTGTTTTGATGTCAACTTGGTTACACAGAACATGCAATATTGAGGGGCAGAGCCAAATTCTCCTTATTACCTGAGAGGTATCTTCTCCATTTATAACGGAAGTTCACTATCAAGGTCAGAAACACTGCCCAAACACCCAATGCCACCAGAACAGGTATTATCCAGGAAGCATTTCCTTCACTGGGTTCTAAATAAAACAAAGAAAGCTTGTGAACTGGAAGAAAATTTACCAAATATGAAAAGAGAAGGGTGGGGATAGATGGGTGGAGGTGGGTTATGTTTACTGCTTCTAACACTAATTAGTTTTGCATTCCAGATGGGAGGCAGAATTCATAAGAAATGACACACAAACTAAACTGGCCCTTTAAAAATAAAGTCAAGACACCAGTGTAGATGAGAGAATTTGCCATGAGGATAAATATCTCCCAGGATCAGTATCTATTGCGGGAAACCTACAGATAATGTAATATTAACCAATTTAGGGATGGATGGAGGTGAAGGTCGAGAGAGTAAAGAGTCTGAAAACTTGGACATCAATAAAGCTGTTACGGATTTTACTTATTTATTTATTTATTTGTATTTAGTACAGGGTCTCACTACACAGATAGCGCTCGGAGTGATCCTCCTGTTTTCAGCCTCCCAAGTGCTGGGATTACAGGTGAATGCCACCACGCCCAGTCTCAATGGCCTTCTCAGCGTGCCCTTGGGTCAGGGTGAACATGTCAGGCTGGGGATCAAACCCTGGCCACTGCGCTCTGCCTAAGCAGATGCTTTAGTCTGCTGAGCTATCTGGTCAGTCCCTGTTATGGTTTTTAAATTACTACTTTATATTACAATCAGGGAATGAACACACTTTTACAAAGGATAATTAGAACTGCAGACCAGCCTCAGCTCAGAGCCCATGAGAGAAGGGTGTCATACACCCTTGGCCTGGAGAAGAGTGTGCTCAGGGGATACTGGTGTGAATTTCAGAGGCAACAAGAGAAGCAACAGATGTCCACTGGATTATGAGTACTCGCAGATTTCCAGGAAAAACTAGAGGACTCTGAACTTGTAGAACTCTGGTCTTGCCTAGAATTGTAATTAATATTAAAAGGATTCCTGAGGTGGATTCTTGAAGGTAGGAATTGGGAAACTTTAGGTTACTAAAGTTAAGACTGTGCTAATCTTGTTATCTCAACCTACCAAGTAATAGGAAATATTAAGAGTACAGAGGCCAATTCAGTGTGGAAAAATGCTTTAGAGTCTTCCTTTAAAGTGGATACCTCTGTTCCATGACAGACATTGAGTTTTATGAACATACTATTATGATTTAATAAAGCAAATAATGTTTTACATGCAACAAAACATTAATCTATTTGAGACATTCTGAAATTCTATATTGTTATAAAGAAGAGATGATGTAGAAATGTTAGGCTTGCTCTGTAATGTGTTTTCATACACATTTCTTCCCAATAAAATCCTATTAAGTCTTATAAAGTACATAAGTGCTATCTGTCTCTTTATCTATGACCCTTAGTTCCCTCTTTTTTTTTTCTTTTTTTTTTTTGCAGAACCGGGGATTGAACTCAGACCCTTGTGCTTGCCAGGGAAGCACTTATTCCACTGAACCATCTCCCCGGCCCCTTAAAGTTCCCTCATCTTAAGGGGATTTGCCCAAAGTCAAAACCTCATTCAGCAGTACAATCTAGAAAGGATTTTCTATTTCATGTAGCTTGGTTCAACCCTTTTGGCCAGATCTAGACTCTAAGTTCACAAGGATCCCCTTCCCAAATCTGGACCTTCTTTTCATATGCTGTGGCATCTCCTAGACAATTTAGAATAGAAAAACATTTTTTTTTGAGGAGTTGTTTGTGGCACTAAGGACTAAACCCAGGACTTTCGGCATTCTACACAAATACTTCACCACTGATCTATGTCACAGCCTAGAAAACCAAATTGCCTTGAAAGGCTAATGTGTGGGATACCACAACTATTTGCCTTTTTCTCTTCGCTGTCTGGGTGGCTCCTGTGCCAGGCCTCTTCTCGGGGGACTATGGACCACCCTTTCCTGTACTCACTGGCCAAGGTTAACTCGGGAATGAGAGGCTCTGAAGGGCCTCTTGCCAGTGATGGAAGAGTCCTGATGCCTCCCTTTGTGTGCGCTGGCAATTACATCTCTGGGTAGGAATAGGGGCCATATGTGGTCTTCAGACAGATTCTTCCTGATTATTTTTCTATACACCAGAATGAATCCAACATGAGGCAACACTTTTAAAAATAGAATTCAGGCTTAACTGCATTTTACATAAAACCGGCATTCTTATTTTAGAGAAAGATAGAAGTTTCAAATGCATCCTATTTTTCTTTTTCATTCTATACTGTCAAAATCATAGCTCTACAAACAAGTACTACAACTTAGAGTATAGAAGCTTCTTCTTTGTAAGACCATGTCACCTGAGGACACCCATGTGTTCTTATTTCCAATCTTACTATATGGAATAGCTAAACTTCTAACGAATTGCAATTCTCCTCATTTTTGCAGTTGGAATGATAAAAATTTCTAAAACCTTACATAGTCCACTGATAAAAAATATTCTATATTAAAGCATGCAGAGGGTTAGCGTTAGGGTTAGGGTAAATAAATAATAAAGCATGCAGAAAAAGCCACCATTGCTTCCCATGTCCAACTGATAGATTAAGGATGAAGGAGCAACCAGATCACCCAGGAAGCCAACTCCACAATACATATGCCCTGACTTTTTGGTTAACAGACTAGAAATACTTATAATTTTCTGCAGTCAACTATTGAGACTTAAAAAGTAAACTGAACTGAGGATACACAGTGTTTCATATGTCAGGTGGTTGTTATTTCCACCAAGTTAATGCACAGTGCCATATTTTCTCAGCCTTCAGTGGGTTTCCAGGTCTGACTTCGCACTGTGTCTGCAGTCTCAGTTCCAAAACCTGGGCTTTAAGGCAAATATTAGATATACCCATGAGCAGAGGCTGAAGATACTGTTGCAGGAGGTGAGTTAAATGGAAGTATTATAGGCAGTCAGACAGGGCTAGGCCCTTGAAGGAGATAACACAGAGGACAAGATACCTTACAACAGTTGGAAGGATGGATGCTCCCATCATGTGCCAAACCTAAAGATCAAAGATCAAACAAATGCCGACCTCCCTAAAGATTGGCATCCAAGATTGATCATCACCCTAAGGGAGCCGGAAGAATCATTAATCTGACTACTACTGGATGGCTAACTGATGAAGCCCAGTTCTACATTCATGCCCACTTGCTACATGACTTGCTTCCCCATTTGGTCCTAGACTTAATCAATTTTACCTGAGCAATGATGCTTGCAGTCTCATTGGCTAATCATAATTTTGTCCCACCTCATTCCCATCTAAGCAAGTTCCCATGTTCTCTACCACCTTAGACCCACCTCACTGCATGGTTTTACTCTATCAAAGTCCCTGGAAGAGAGAGCTTCCTGGGGACAACCTGCTCAGCCCCCCCTCCTGTCCCTCTCTTAGACAGGAGCTTTCTTTCCCCCAATAAATATATTCTGCACATAACCTCCATTTGTTCCTAAAATTCATGCTTTAGTTTTAGAGAACACAAACTCATCCAGTTCAGGTCAGGAGATCATTTTTCCCTATGTCATTTGGAGGTTCCCTGTATTATTTGGAGGTCACTCACCTGAGATCAGTTTTTCTCCCTGTATCAATACTTAGCCCACAGTCTTCAAGACATATAGGTTCCTCTTAATTTCTAAAGTCCGGAAACCAAGAAAAGGAAATCTCATGGGCATATCTTTTTCGATAAAACTTTTGTATAATCCAAGGAAGGAGGGTTTTCTAAAATCTTGCTTAGAAAAACCCCTGTAGATGACACTTTAAGAAGTGCTAAAATAAACTTTACAAGCTAACCTAATAGTTTGTATGATATGCAAAATGTTCAACTGTCATAGCCCAAATGCTTCACTTAACATCCCTTCAACTTACCTATATGCAGCGTATGGACAGTGAGCAGAGTATATTCTCTTGAAGAAATATTGCACAAATATTCCCCAGTGTCTGAAACACTAAGATCTGTCAAAGTCATAGAGAAATCATTCTGGTTTATCAGTTCTTTGTTCCAAGAGAATCGGGGTTCATTGATGACTGGAATTTGTGAGGCACTCAAATAGCAACCTAAGACGGAGGCAATTCCATTTTTCCTTATGGACCAAGTAACGATGAAGTCTTCACTTGGTACAGAAAAGTTTCTTATTCCTTGACATGAGAGTGAAGCATATTCGCTTTGCCTTTTGCAAAGGTCACCTAACAATAGAACAGGAAAGACAACATCAATAGAGATTTTTTAAAAAAAGTTAAGTGAATTTTTAAGTTACACTTAGTAGGAAATGAATACTGTAATACTGATATCTTTGGAAATATCATTTTGAAAGCAATTAAAGGTCTGTGCTGCAGAGTTTAAAAAGAAAAGTCTTTATTGGCACTGTTTCAAAGATCTCCCCCGAAAGTTAAAATCTTCCTAAAATGGCTAAGTCTGGGCCAGCCAGGGAAGTGCTGTGTCTTGGCATTAACTTCTACATCCTGACAATAAGCATGCAGGAATGCTTCTGCCTGCTATGAGGCTTCTCACCTGCTCCTGTTGACCCCCACCTCAAATGCTCTTCTCCCCAAGACTCCCCTCAGGCAACTCTGTCTACTCCCTAGTGCTCCCTTTTATTTTTACGGTCTTAACCACTTCATACCCATCTAGGCAAATGAGACTCCAGGTAGTATGTTTCTAACTATGTGCAAATTATCTCTCAGGAGAGCTCTTTCATAAGTGGACCTCAACTGGGTATTGTCAGCATGGCTCTCTGGAGCCAGCTCCAGCTTGTCCTTCCTGTTCTGTGTCTCTGCAGGCTGAGCTCTATGGATAGACAGATTATTCTCCTTCACCCTAGACCAATGGTGCTAAACCTATGGCACACATGCTGCAGCAGGCTGTTTGTATCCGTGAAAGCTCCAAAAGGTTCGTTATCTAGAATCAAAACATTTTCCCATCACTGCTCTCTCATGTACCTGCAGAAGACAGGTATCACCACAAATACCTATAGTGCAAGTCCAGGCTCTCTCTGATGTTTCAAATCCTCCTTTGCCTCAAGATAGATTTCAATTTCCTTAGAAAGATATAGAAAGTCTTTCATTGGTTTTTTGCCTCCCTCTCTAGGTTTAAGTCTTGATTTTTCTAATTTTATCCTCAACCACTTACATTTCAAACAGTCTCAGAAAATTTCATTGCTCTGTGTTTTTGTGCTGCATACCTAGAGTGCTGAAATTCTCCTGGAATCTCTTACTCTTACCATTCGGACTACAGATGACACTTTATGGATGTAATTGGTAACTGCCCCCCACTTCCAAATACAGCAAACATAGCTAGTTTTATCCACGCTTGCACTGCATGCTGTGGATCCAGAGAGGCATAAGCGTCTCGTTCTCAAGTTCACAACCTGGGCAGGACAAATCTTGAAACATGGAAGAGTCTCAGCAAGACTAGAGTACTGAATTTGAGGAATTTTGCTTCAAGGTACTTATTTCTGAAGGAACATGGGATATAATTATTCTACAGAGAAAATATTTGTAATGTAATATTAAATCCTGAACCCTCTTATGTTTCTGTTGCTGGCTGGCTGGCAGGGGATGAGTGAGTGTACATCATGTCTTTAACCTGGAATCATGGAAAGGCAGTCACTGTGTCAGTATTTTGAGACTATGAAAACCTGGAATGCATAAGGCTAAAAAGAATACCTAAGTTCTACTTTCTCCATAAAAGAGAGAGTTACAGAAGATTTTGCCATGCTTTTAATGACTATTAAACCTTAGAATTAGACAAGAAAATAACAAATTAATTTTTCTTTCCTGTGATATTTTCTTAAAGAGAAGCTTATGGATATAGAGATTGATCAAAGTTTAGTTCTATTCAAATAATTAGAAAAATGAGAAAGGCAAAAATCTGATTATGCTGTGATAAAAGTGTCAGATAAAGGTCAAAGGACCAATGCAATGTTAAGAGACTATACCACAAATAATAACAATAATTAATTCTTTGACCTGTTAAGAAATTTTCCTGTGGGAATATAGACTGGTGCAACCATTATGGAAATCAGTATGGAGACTCCTTAGAAAAGTTGGACTGGAAATCCCATTTCAACCAGCTATTCCTCTACTGGGAATTTTCCCAGAGGATCAGAAATCATTATATCATAGTGATATATGTGTGCCTATGTTTATAGCAGCACAATTTGTGATAGCCAAATCTTGGAAACAACCAAGATGCCCATCATCTGAGGAATGGTTGAAAAAAAATGTGGTATTTTTACACAATGGAGTATTATTTAGCTATGAAGAATGATAAACTCAAAGCTTTTATATTGAAGTGGATGCCACTTAAACATATACTCATAAGTGAAATAAACCAGACACACATGTGTAAATATCATATAGTCTCCCTTGTATGAGAACCCAAAAGAAGAAATACAAATAGAAAGGTGTAATACAAGTAGAAGGAAAGCAGGATCTCAAGGACTAACTAACAAAGAAAGGGAAAGGAGAAGAGCTAGGAAACATCACAATGTCAAGACATACAGTTATATGTAGAAGATGGGCAAGGCAATGATCCTGAGAATATTTAGAAGATTTTTGAATCTAGCAGTAAATTGGAAAAATTCTCACCCTGACTAACTACATATATTGATACCTGTGAACTAAGCAACTGCACTGCAGATAGTAATTTGTAATAGTAGTTTCATGCTTGGAGTGCCTGTCATTCTGGTCTTCTGAATATGGGCTGCTTATCATGACATGACAGTTGCTGCTATGATGTCTCTCAGGTAGATGGTTGTTCAAGAAGAAGGAGTGGTGAATGAAAGCAAGAGACAGGAAAAGGAATAATGTGGGACTGTCTTGCTTCAAGGTTGTTTACGGTGAGATTTTTGGAATTATGTGTAAACATAAGAAGTATATAATTCTTTATGCCTATTTTTAAAATATATTCTAATTTTTAAATGTTTTTATCATATTCTGTAGGAACTTAAAGTTCAACATATCAATACTTGATGAAAAATACCTGTTCCATATTATGCCTAAGATGTTTGATATGCAGACAGATAGTGAGGTTAAGCTTAACAGCCTAAGTTGTATAGTAATAACAATAAGCTTGTCTTCTGGATGGTTAACAACCTAAGTTTGCAGACCAAAATTAGAGAAAAAGCAGGGCTGCAAAGAAAGCCAACATTTTGGCCCTAGCCTTCTAAGGTCAATTAAGACTCAGGACATATGAGAACTTGTACTGTAACGTCATGTAACTCAGTAGTGTCCCAAATTTTCTGATGAAGGAGATTATGGGGCCAAAGAGGAAAGTGATCAATGGTGTACAGTGTGCCTAAGGAGAGTCACTTGGAGAGAAAACATTCAGGCTTTCACAGAGAGCACGTTGGCCAAGCAATGGCCACGACTCATCCACATGGCTGACACTGACAAAGGTTCTACAATCTGAGGTACAGGATCTCAGGATAAATCCTGAGGGGATTTCATTGACCTTATCAGACCCAAAAGCTACAACTCTTGTTGCATAGGTCCTGCTTTACCTTGGTCTTAACCATCCAGCAGAAAAGTATAAAAATGAAATATAAGAAGTAAAGCCATGCTGTTATGTTGAGCTGTAGGAGACTCAGGTCAACAATTTCTGACATTGCTGGTGAAGTGGAAGACCCAATACTATTATGGGCTACTGGACTCTTTTAGAATATTTTGCTGAGTTTACACACCTATAATACTCAAATAACGGAACTTAACAAAAAAAGGGGATACAGATGAATGTCCATTTTGTATCTGTGTATTCAAAGTGGTTAGGATAGATATATAGTTACATTCTCTTAATAAATAGTAGAATGATTTGTTCTAATGGTGTTTGTAAATAGGATATCATGTCCGCATCTTGTACAGCAATTAACCACTAGGAAGAATGTATGCAATGTGTGAATTATTGAAACTGTCCTACCAATTTGATTTGCAACTGTCTCATTGCTATTTGTTTATCAATAAAATTATGGGAAAAAAATTTTCCTTCCTCCCTTGATCTGAAGGGTAATACAGGTATAAAATCCTCTTTTGAGGTTGAACTATGGAGAAATACAATAATATTCAGGAATAGATTTGTTACTTTTTATTTCACAAATATTTTTACTCAAATCCTAAACAGTTACTAAGGTAAATAAACTTCCACATCACCAAAGAAGAATCAATGCTTAAGATTGAAAATGACTACCTAACATAACGTAGCCAGTGAGCATTAACGCTGATTCTAGACAAATTCTTTGTCTCCCTTTCTTCGCTGTGGACCCGCTCCCCAGCAGCCCCTCCCCCTGACGGTGCTACGCAGAGGAAGCCCACCGAGCCCACCTTCCTGGGTCCACCGCCCTGTCCATGTCTTCTTCAGCAATGGGTTTTCAATTGCACATTCATAAGATGAATTTGATCCTGTGATATTCAGGGCGCTGCTAATATAAAAAGGTCCCAGATACCCTGTTTCTTCTGTTTTGCTTCCAGAGACAGACGCAGTGTCCACTTTCCATGTGACACGTGGACGAGGATAAACACTGAGCACACTGCACACCAGGAAGCTGCTCGTGTTTCTCTTCTCGTGCTTCATCGCGGGAGTGAGGAAGGCTATGCAGGAAAGAGAAGCACAGGGACACCAGTCACCATTAGTTTCCTTGCGGGCCATACATGCAGAATCTTTTTCTTTCTTTCTTTCTTTCTTTCTTTCTTTCTTTCTTTCTTTCTTTCTTTCTTTCTTTCTTTCTGTATTTAGTACAGAGTCTACAGAGTCTTACTACACAGATCAGACCCATGGTAAGTCTCCTATTTTCAGCCTCCCAAGTGCTGGGATTACAGCACACCCAGTCTCAGTTGCCTTTTCAGCACTCCTCTGGGGCGGGGCTGGCATGCAGTATGTTTCTTAATGAACATAAACTGAAAAATTAAGATCTATGAGCAAAACTTGGGAGCTACTGCAAAGAAAACCACACACACCCCCAAAATTCCATAAAACCTTCAGATATAGGCCATTATTCAGAAAGAATGAAACAGAGCCTATATGGATACCAAGCAGACCCTATATCTATTTCCTGCAAACAAATCTCCTGACCTTATCTGAGCCAGAAAAAAAAGGGTGGTCAACGTCTATAAACTAGAGTTCATGTGACACTCTCAAATCCAGACACTGACAGCCTATTCGAGTCTCTGTTTATATATGATTCTTGGATTCTGAGTCCAGGTGTCAAGCAACTACATGAATCAAAGGAAGAAGGAATAGGGCTGGAAAAAACATTCCATCCAGAAATATATTCCCAAATATGTAACATATATTCAGACTTACCTTGGAGATAGGGTATTGCAAGTTCAGGTCCAGTGAAAATTATAACAAAGAAAATATATATTTTTGATGTCCCAGAGCATATAAAAGTTATTGTACATAATGTCTCATTAATAACATATACACCTTCTCTTGATAGTAGATGCTGTCTTCAGGTTTAACTCCAACAAAGGTTATGGGCCTTCTCTACCCTCACAGATTCCCCTTTTTATTGTTGAGAAGACCAGAGATAATTAATAATGCCACCAACCACGGCTTAGAGAGGGCACATCATGAACTGTGTAGCAAGACAGCCTTGCAGCTCACTAGGTGCAGAGAACCCAGGCTTGATGTGGAAATCACAATTCAGTAAACCTTAGTCTGCTAGGACAGCAGCTTCTAGAAGCAGAAGCTCAGCAGTAAGCATTGTACTCTTTGTGAACCCCTTGGATTTTTTTTGGTGTTTTTGTTATTTTTGGTTTAAATCAAGCCTGTGATGGGTGAACTATAGCTGAACATCCACAGTGTGTTCTATGAGTGCTAGCTCTCTTGAATTTGGATATCGGTTATTTTTTATAGAGTGTAAACCAGGTTTTATATTCTATAATGAAAACAGGTACCTATTTGTTTCTAAATAAAAATATTTACATTTGTCGTGGGAAAAAAAATATATACACCTTAATTTAGAAACACTGCTTAAAATGGCTAACAATGCTCTGAGCCATCAGCAGGCAGCACTCCTCTGCTTGTGCAGGGTCTCACTTTCACACTATGGACTCTGGCTGGGCAGGGTGATGGGTGCTGAAGGTTAGGTTAATTGAAGTTATTTATTTTTAATTAAGTATATTGGTGTATTTATTTCCATTCTTTTATTTTTTTCTCTTCCCTTCCTCCCCCCATCCCCATGCCCTCCATTTCAACATTTTCTTCCTATTTCACAGCATCAGTGATACATTTTGGTCCTTATTTACACTTTTGATCTCCCACACCACAGACACAATTTGATATTTACACACATGCATTCAATTGTTTTTTCACTTAGGAGTATGCATTCAAGGTGCACCCATTTACCTAGAAATGCCTTGTTTTCTTTCTTTCTTTCTTTCTTTCTTTCTTTCTTTCTTTTTTTCTTTCTTTCTTTCTTTCTTTCTTTCTTATTTTTGTGGTACCAGGGATTGAACTCAGGACCCTACACTTGCCAGGCAAGCGCTTATTCTACTGAGCTATCTCCCTGGCCCGATCCTTCTTTATTACTGAATAGTCCTCCCTTGTTTTGAAAACATATCTTTACTCATTTGTCATCAGTTAATGGGCATTTGGTCTGTTTCCAAGATTTTAGTATCACAAACTGTACTGCTATAAACATGGGTGGGCATGTACAACTGTGGTACATATTAAATGGACAAAAACTAAAAGTTTTCACTCTAAAATCAAGAACAAGACAAGGATGTGTATCATCACCATTCCTATTCAGTATAGTTCTGGAAAATATTAGACAGAAAAATTGAACAAGACAAAGAAATAAAAGGAATAAAGATAAGAAAGGAGGAAGTTAAATTGCCGTGATTTGTCAATGACACAATACTCTGCATAGAAGACTCCACAAACCCCACCAAAAGACTTCTACATTTATCAACAAAATTTAGTCATGTAGCTGGATATAAAGTCAACACTCAAACATTAATATAATTCTTGTACATAAACAACAAACTCACTGCAAGAGAAATTAGAGAAACACATTTCACAGTAGCATTTTAAAAAATGAAACAGGAATCAATCTAACAAAGGAAGATCCACACATTGAAAATTACAGTACTCTGAAAAAAGCAACTGAAGAGGATATAAAAAAATGGAAAATATTCCTTGCTGTTCAGTAGGAAAAACATATGTAGTGAAAATGGCTGTGCTACCTAAGTTGTTATATAGATCTAATGCAACCCCAATCAAAATATCAATAGTATACCTCTTTGACCTAGAGAAAACATTCCTAAACCTCACTGGGAATCAGAAGAGACCTAGAATAGCAAAAATAACTCTGGGCAACAAAGGCAAGGCAGGAGATAGCTCAAACCCTAACCTGAAATTACACTACATAGATACAGTGATTTAAAAAAAGGGCCAGCCTTTTAGCTCAGTGGACTAAAGCGCCTGCTTAGGCAGGTGCAGTGACCAGGGTTTGATCCCTGCTGTGCCATGTTGGCCCTGCCCCCAGGGCATGCTGAGACAGAGATTGAGACTGGGGTGTGGTGGTGTGTGCCTGTAATCCCAGCTCTTAGAGGGTGAAAAACAGGAGAATCACTACAAGTCTGATCTGTGTAGTGAGACCCTGCACACCCTGTACTAAATACATTTAAAAAAAAAAAAAAAAAAAAAAAAAAAAAAAACAGCATGGTCTTGACAAAAAATTTCCCAGACCCAAGGATCAATGGAACAGATTAGAAGATGCAAAAACAACTCCAAACACACTCAGGTACCCTATCTTTGACAAAGGGGCCAACTACCTTCACTGGAAGAATGTAGTTATTTGTTTAAACCAAAACTAAATAAATAAATAAAGTCTGCTGCATCAGTTAAATCTTCCTCTCATGAAAATTTTTCCTGTAGCATGATGCAATTTGTAACAGTAGAACTTGCAAAATTTGTGACAGTCTTCTCAAACCCTGCTGCTGCTTTATGAACTAAGTTTCTGGAGTGCTCTAAAATGAATCCCTTACTGTCACGTCAGTAGCATCTTCACCAGTTGATTCCATTTATAGAATTCACTTTTCTTTCTTATGCATGAAAAGTAACGCTTCATTCATTAAAGTTTTATCAGGAGAATGCAACAATTGGGCCACATCTGCAGATTCTGTTTTTAATTCTGGTTCCCTCACTGTTTCTGCTGATCTGTAGTTATTTCTTCTACTGAAGTACTTGTTCTAGGGCTCTTAAACTTCATACTGAATCTACTCTCCTGTACTCTATAAATAGAATATCCAAACCAGTCATTGTCATCCATAAGGGTTAAAACTAGCTTCCTTCATATCCTACTGATGCTGAGATTTTGGGCTACCCCTCTCAGAAGCAGTATATATTGAACCCAGCGTCTCACACTGAGCTATACTCCAATTTTTTTTGTGTTCAGTTGCCTGGGCCAACCTCAAACTTATCATTTACCTGCCTTTGCCTCCCATGGAACTAAAGATATACCCTACCATACTTGGCCATACACGTTCTCAGTGGCGTCTAGAAATGGCTCCTTCACAGAAGTTTTCAATTTAATTTTCCCAGAGGAAATTTCCATGTTAGAGGAATCACCACCTATAGCATAGTTATAGCCTTATTAAATAAATTCCTCCAATAATAAGATTTGAAAGTTTAAATTACTCCTTCACTCATGGGCTGCCAAATGGGTACTGTGGTAGCAGGCATACAAACAGTACTAATCTCACTGGACAGGTCCCACACAATGAATGGTGACCAGGTGCATTGTCAGTGAGCAGTAGTGTTTTGAAAGAAATCTTTTTTTTTCCTCTGAGAAGTATTACTCAATAATGGGCTTTAAATATTCAGACACCGTATAAAGAGATGTGCTGTCATCCTGGTTTGGATATTCCATTTATAGAGTACAGGAGAGTAGACTCAGTATAAAGTTTAAGAGTCCTAGAATTTTTGCAGCAGTGTGTGGGCGTTGACTTCCACTTCACATGCTCAGTCACGTTAGTACCTAGCGAGAGAATGTCTGGCCTTTAGAGCTTTGAAGCCAGGCACTAACTTCTCCTAGCTATGAAAGCCTAATGGCATCTTCTTCTAATACAAGATTGTTTCACTTACACTGAAAATGTGGTAGGTAGAGTCACCTTCCTCTCTTATCTTAGCTAGGTCTCCTGGAAAACTTTCTGTAGTTTCTCTCCATCAGTCCTCGCTGCTTCCCTTTGCACTTCTATGGTATGAAGACAGATTCTTCCCTAAACTTCATGAATAATCTGTGCTACCTTCAAACTCTTCTCATGCACTTCTTCATCTCTTTCAGCCTTCATAAGGTTGAAGACACTTAGGCCTCACTCCAGATTAGTCTGTCACTTAAGGGATTGTTGTAACTACTTTAACCTTCCATTTAGACCACTAAAACTTTCTTCCTACCAAAATTCAGGCATTTTGCTTTCTTATCATTCATGTATTCATTGAAATAGCACTTTTAATTTTCCTTGAGAATTGGGATTGGTTTAGTCACAGACTGGCTGTTTGGCAAAAAGTTCTACTAGCTGTTGGCCTCTATTGGCTCCTAGCATGCCTCCTCACTAATTGCTTGTAGCTTGAGATGTATGAGAGCCAGGGTGCTTTTCTTTTCACTTGAACAGCTGCAGGTCAATGTACAAATGTCTGTTCACATAGTCTTAAAATCGCTGTGTCACAGGGAATGAGGAGGCTTAAGGAGAGAGGGAGAGATGTGGAAGCAGCCAGTGGGTGGAGTCACCAGAAAACACATGTACTAAATTCACTGTCTCGCAAGAATGGCTTCTTAGCACCTCAAAGCAATTACAGGCTTCAAAACTCACTCACAATAGACCACACCAATGGATATATCAATAATGGAAAGGTTGGAAATACTTTAGACATTAACAAATGCCACAGAGACATGAAGTGAGCACGGGCTGCTGGGAAAATGGTAGCTATAGACTTCATCAACACAAGGCTGTCATGAAGCATGTCTCCAAAATAGCACAAAATAAAGCAAAATACTGTGCCTATAATATACTGTATTTGTGATGAGGAGCCTGATTATTAATGGACCACATCATTAGGAATCTGGTATTTTGAGTAATAGAATTCAGCCATGAAGCTCTGTTCCAACTACTTTTTTGTTTGTTTTTTTGGTACCAGAAATCAAACTCAGGACTTTGTGTTTGCCAGACAGATGCTGTGTCACTGAGCTATATCCCTGGCTGCAGATACTTTTTAAAATTTAATTGAACGGCTGTTTTAGTCAACGTTACCATAAAATTTGGCAGCATTTAATATACTAACTATATA